TTCAGGGCAGCAACCATGTTATATAAGAGCCTTGACATTTGGAATGGCTGATAATGTACTCTTGGCAAACTTAGGCTGAATCCCTTTATCAACCTTCCCTTTGGGAGCCTGGCAGATCACATTACTACCTACTATTAAAAGATGATTGTCGACCTCCATGACTTCATCATCCGCTCCCTTTTTTACAGATACGGTAGATGTTCGAGTGCCGGATGTGGCTAATTTTGGCTTTTTGTACATTGGTCGCCCTATTCGCCTAAGACCATTACCATATTCTCGTTTAATAATATTATAGCCACCTGAACCTTATCGACTGTCGTTGGCTGATTGGGCTGATCAATAACTGGTTGATCTTGATTTACCACTAACGGTTGATTTACCATTGGTAGCTGATTGGTCATTGACTGCCCCCCGAGTACCAAAGGTTTTGACTGATATACCACTGGCGGCTGATTTTCCGCTAGTGGCTGATTATAGTTCAGCCAATCTTTTAGCTGATATGTCATCTGCTGCCCCCCGAGTTTTAAATTTTGTAGCATAGGAATAGTAAGATAATACTATGTCCATTCTTGTTCCGATTGATTTACGACCAGCAGCTAATTTTCCGCTAGTGGTTGATTATAATTCGGCCAATCTTGTAGCTGATTAGCCAAATGTTTCCCTTCAAGTCTTGGCTGTGGTAATTCCTGAGCATAAAGTGGATTTAGAGCTCTCCACCCTACCTGATTGCCCCCCGGGTTAAAAGATTTTGGATGCTGTACCACTTGCGGCTGATTTACTGCAGGTGGCTGATTGTTATTCGGCCAGCCTTCTGCTTGATTAGCCATTAGCTGCCTCTCGAGTCCCGGCTGATATATCATTGGCTGCTGATTTTTCGCTAGTGGCTGATTATAATTCGGCCAGCCTTGTGGATGATTAGCCATCGGCTGCCCCCCGAATATCAAAGGTTGTGGTATGGAAGCAACAGGCTGATATTTTGGCCATTCTTGTTGCAATTAATTTACCACTGGCGACTGATTTTCCGTTGGCTGATTATAAATCGGCCAATTTTCTTGCTGGTTAGCCATTAGCTGCCCCTCGAGTCCCGGCTGATATACCATTGGCGACTGATAATAATTCGGTTAGCCTTGTAGCTGATTAGCCATCATATTTGGTTGAAGCAGAACCATCGGCGACCATGGCTGTGATGGCTGAGCATTCACTACCGGTTGAATAACCTGTGACAAAATCGGCTGAGAGGCCGATTCCTGATTATTGGAGCTCCCAGCCTGAGCCGACCTATTCGTAATGGTGGCTAAAAGCTGAGATATTATTTCGTGCAGGTCATTTTGACTTTCACTTATTCTTCCCATCGCCTCTAACAAAAAACACATCTATGTTTGAACCATTGATACTTTTGATGGTATAGTTAGTTCATCCACAGGGCCCAAGGTAAAGCTACCAACCAAAGCTAGCTGATATTCTTCTTTCGGATCTTCTTCAGTGGCTACTGCCTTTGAATTTTTCGTAAGCCATGGCATTTTTGCTTCTTCTAACACCAATTAGTGGTCTCACCGGGCGTGCCAAAATATGTTCGCACGTTTTATTTATTTATTTATTTTTTTTTGAAGATAAGATGAAATATTGTTTCGTGCAGGTCGTTTTGACTTGCACTCATTCTTCCCATCACCTCTAACAAAGAGCACAACTATGTTTGAACCATTGATACTTTTGATGGTATAACTAGTTCATCCACAGGGCCTAAGGTAGAGCTACCAACCTAAACTGGCTGATGTTCTTCTTTTAGATATTCTTCAGTGGCTACGGCCTTTGAATTTTTCGTAAGCCGTGGCATTTTTGCTTCTTCTAACACCCATTAGTGGTCTCACAGGGCCAAAATATGTTCGCGCGATTTTTTTTGGTCTTACGCTGGTCAATGGACTTTTTACGGGCGTGCTAGAGTATTTGTATAAAAACACTCAAAATTATGAATTGAAAACCAGCCTATACCTTTTTCCGATGGCTGCCTTCAGGCGAATGTGTGAGAGAGAGAATAGTAAGAACTCATAACAAGGTTATTTTTCTACCTTGTTTATAAGGACTTTTTATCTAAGTGTTAAAAGAAATAAAAATGTAATGGCTTAAAGAAATTTGAATGAACTGGTTGAATTTAAATTGACTTTAAAGAAAGACGGCTGAATGAAAATTGACTGAAAAGTAAATTGGCCGAATTAAAATAGATGACAAGAATTTAATCAATTGCCAATTAAATGGATGACAAGAATTTAATTGATTGCCATTTAAATGAAAACATTTTGAATTAAAATAGCATAACAAAATGCAATGACAAGAATTTAATCAATTGTCAATAAAAGGAATGACCAGAATTTAATCAATTGCATTTAATTTAAATTTTTTTGAATTGAAATAACAAATTTGAAACTGGTATAATGGAAATTGCATGGAAAGTAAAGGAATGAAATAAACTGGGTGAATTAACATGACGCGAATCTGATCAAAGATTGACTATTGCATTCGTTTGCATGAAACAAATGATTGATAATGTAAATAACATAGTTAAAGCATTGCAAAAGAAGAGTACGTTACTGGAACTTAGTTTGTTTGAATGAAAATTGCCATTTGGACAAAAGAAATAAAGTATTGATATGATGACGTTGAGTCATTTGATGAATTTTTGATTCATGCTATTTTGTGGGTGGTGCGGGACGATTTGAAAAGAATACAAACTTTCCTATTTATAGAATTTTCTCTCAAACTTATTTTCCTAATTTCTTGCTAAAATATCTCATTCTTGATTTTCTCTCCTTTGTAATTCAAATTGGGTTTGATGTTGACTATTGGGTTTAATGTTGACTAGGTCTCTTTCTTCAAATAAACTTCCCCTCTCCAGCTGTAATATATGGATTCATCTCCATTACGGCCTTCCCTTTAATTAGTCAAAACTCATATTGCTTATTTGCCTCACACTAAATCAAAATTGGACCTTCCTTATCATAACTAACTTTCCTTCCTTGTTTCTAGGGCTTTAGTCATTGACCTACCCTCATATTTCAATATTTTCTTCTAAGTCAGCAAATTTGCTATGAAGTAGTCAACTATTTGTTCCTAAAATTCAGCAACCTTCCATTTAACTTGGCAGCCAAATAATATATCAAACATAATTCCACGGGTCGCCTCTTTTTTCTCCAATAATTTCCAAATGTCATGAACACCGAGCTTTGAGCACTAATTCGAGAAATTACCCAAATTCTGGTCCTAACTGTTCTTAAAAAATAAAAATATAATACTCAAACCCAATTAGAACCAAGCTAGTACGCCTGGTCGAAAGTATTGCTGGAAGGTTGCAATTATGTAATCAAGAGGTTTGGGTTTGATCTTTGAACCGAATTGGATTGTAAGGCACATAGAGAGATGGAATGAGAAATATCTCTAGAGAGATAAAAGGGGGTAACGGTCATTCTGTCATCGCCGGTGCGGTCCCTCCTTGCTCATCGTCGGTTCATACGTTCTCTTCGGTAAGTGCAGTTCACTCATCCTTGTCGCCGCCGTTCTGTCCTGCTCTGCGGTGAGCGTCGAACCCAGCTTGCAGTTGGTGAGGTTCCAAATCTTAATGGTGCGGTCTAAGTAGAAGGAAACGATGGTTGGCAGGAGCGTATTGGGGCTAAATCGGACGCAGCTGAGTGTATTGTGATGCGAGGACGACGGCGGGCTGTGCTGCCACGGCGGTGAGACGACCCAGACGAAAGTGAGAGGAGCTCGACACACGCCTCCCGTAACACCGACCCGTTGCCGTGTCTGGACGTCATCTCTTCTTCTCCGCCATTGAATCTATCGCCGGCGATGTGACCGTTGCGTTGCAGAGAGTGAAAGAGAGGAGAGAGAGACTTAAAATCCCAAAAAAAAAAAAAAAAAAAAAAAAAAAGTGAAATAAAAAATAAATAGGGGGGGGGGGGGGGGGGGTGGGCCGACAAAGGTTCAACAAATTAAAGGTAAAGTTTTACTAAAAAATAATGGAGGGTAATTCAAGTATTTTATTTTATTAGTTTTAAAAAATGAGCTGCGAGAATAAGTTAAACTAATCCTGAAAAGAGTGTTACAACAAAAATGATCAAGATTATCAAAGTGCCTCGTCGAGTCTCGGGACAAAAAATATATGTGTGTTTATTTTACCATTAAAAAAAAAAATTTAATTGAGATTTAATACGAGAGAAATAAATCTAAATCGGAGCATGTTCAGACATTTAATCCTAAATCATTTATTGTTGACCAATTCAGCAAGACAAGTCATGTTAAACTATTTATTACAAAACAAAAAGTCTTATGCCCGAGCCCTAACGGAATCATATGTGAAGCATGGGAATACACATCCCTTGGACAAAGCAAATGAAGTATATATATATATATACATGTTAAGCACTTAATTTGTTTTATATATTTTACATTGGCAAAAATTTAATGTCTATGGAGGTTTGAACCTTTTACATTGAAAGGAAAGAAACTATCACTAAATTAATTACCATAGTTTAGATCGACAACATACCCAAGTTTAAGGGCGGAGCTGCATGTAGTTCATTGGCAAAAATTTAAAGTCAAAAAGCTCAAACATGAGACGTTTTACATTTGACTTTCGATAAATAGTGTATGAGTTCATGAATGTCTTGTTGAACAGAAGTGATTATTTTTTAAGACCAAAGTTGTTTTTTTATTTTCAAATATCTGAAATTCCTTTAGGTGTATTCCGTTGCATAAAATTAAAGTCTTAGAATTGAAATTGATGGGCATTGAAAATAACAACTAAGAAAATTGAACTAAAATTTTCTCAAATTCCACAAATTTTAATTTCAAACTCTAATTCCATGCAGCCTAACACACTCTTAATAACTTCCAAGATAAGTGCTAATACTACACTATGCAAGCCAGAATCCATATTAAAGATGGTTACTTAGCTGCAAAAACATCTTAGTGCATAAGAGTGTATAGCTATCTCTCATATTGCAACAAATTCTTTATTTATTGAATCCATATTAAAGATGCTCTTACATAATAAACACTCCAAAAGCAAATTAACTAGGAGAAAAAACGAAAGCAGAAATAGAAATGAGTTGCTTTTAAAAGCGCACACATGACTGATTTACTCAATGTCCTTGAAACATATATGAATCCTCTCTACACACACACAATTATTTTGAAAAACAATAGTTGTACATCAGAGTTGTATCGATGTGTCCAAATTGCTCCCATGTTGGTCCTTGTACCTGCATGCGATGATGATGAATACATATATATAATTAAGCTTATGGGAAGGCAATGAGAAAATAAATTCTGAATATTTTACCTTGAATTTGTTGGCTAATTACGAGGAAAAAATGTTTGAATGAAAGTGAGAACGAGTGCAAAAGTTGCGGCAAAGAAAGCAAAAACAGCCCAGGGACTACTAAAATAGTTGTGCAATAGCTGAGCCGTCCAGGTCTTCCTCTTGCTATTGTAGTGCTCTTGAATCCGCTCAGTGACATCTTTAATTTTACCGGTTTGAATAGGAATTACAGTGAAGCTAGACAAGGCGTTGAATAGTTTCGCCACTTCTTCATCAGTGCCAAGAAAGTTATGAATGATGTTGTGTGATCGCAACTCGATTACATCATCAGCTCCATTTATGAGTGAATTCATGAAATAGATGTAACAGCATACGTCCAATTTATCGACTCTAGAGGGAGCCAATTCATCGGCCATCATGTTCAGAAAGACCTTCTTGGTTTGGTCGCCAACCAAAACTTGAGGAATCTTTACCACTCCATAAAGACATCGAGAAGTGAAAGTGAAGTCGTTCAAAAAGCATGTGTTGCTAGGCCTGAAATGTATTCCCCTCGCTTTAAGTTCCGTGGCTGAACGAAATGAGCTTCTAAACATATCATTGACTGAGTCCTCCTGCTTGGTTGCTCTATGTCCTCTTAATCTTTTTTCAAAAATTGACCAGCTGGGAGGGTTGAAGGAACAACGACGGGGTTGGTCTTCCGACTCTTCCCCTTCCGAACTGCTGATTTGTCCTGTCATGGCGGGGGAGTGGCTGCAGACACATCTTCTCCGCGCGAGTTCTAGGATATGAAGGGGTTGCTCATCTCCGTCATACTTGGTACTATATGAATATCTTTTCTTTCTTGTCGAATCCAAGTCTGTTAGAAAACTCTTGTCGATGAAAGTCTCAATCAAATTAATAAATCCCTTCCCTTGGTCTTCTGGGCATCTTGTGCTCGCCAAGGTTTGGAGAACTAGGAAAGGAAGTTGGTTCTCCAGCAAAATTAAGTCCCCCATTAACATAGGCTGTCTACCATAGCCTAGATGCTCAGAAAGTTCCGTCAAGTCTTCGGACTCATTTTGCAAATATTTCTCAATAAAATACAGAAGGAAACAACCATCAACGAACATCATACGGACGAATGCTTCATCGTCATATGCATCTGTTGAGCCATCGAGGTAGCAACTCCTAGCATCGCTGACCACTTCTAAGATCTTGTTACGGAATTCCTGGATGTCTCGTTCACTGTCGGCTACAAACGAGCGTGCCATTCTGGCCTTGAAAATTTCCATTTCTTTGAGCTCTGGCCTGCCATGGTGATAGGGACCGATAGAAACGATTGCAGGGTCAAAGGATTCATTATTTTGTGTGCCCTTCCGTAGTTGTGGTACAACCTTCTGTATTTTATCTCGTTGAGGTGGCAAGGACTTCTCTTCCATTATGGATATCATCCACTCACCACCATCTTTGATTCCACCACTGGATTCACCTTTTTCATAGCTCAACTCACTTGCTGCCATTTTTGTGTCACAAAACTTAACCGAGATAGCTAGAGAGTGTGTAATTTTCTCCTCTCCTTCACACAGATGAATAAAACTCTATTAATTTCATAATTCAAGCAGAGAAAATTGAAGTTGATTCTTTTGTTGGAACAACAATTAATGGTCGATATATAAGAAATCAAATGCAAGAAAATTATGGGTTTACCTACGGCAAGAAATTTCAAAAGCCACTTCAAAAGGTTCACAGTAGATGTGACTAAGTTTTAATTAAGAATATATTATGCGAAAACTCAAATGAAAGCAAAAACAGACAACATGTTGAGTGGCTATAAAGAATGAAAGTATTGTGCCAAAACGCAAATGAAAGCAAATACAAAAAAGTGAAGCCGGAGACAATATTGTGCGAAAACTGAAATGAAAGCAAGTACAAAAGGACAAAATGCGTAGGAAAATGTAATGTATATTAGCAAGGGTAAGAGTTTATTTTATATATAAAGCAAATACAAAAGGTCAAAATGCGTAGGAAAATGTAATGTATATTAGCAAGGGTAAGAGTTTATTATATATATATATATACATATATACACACACTCCGTATTTGTCTTTTCCTTTTTTCTTTTCTTTATTATTGTTGTTGGGAAGACTTATAAAAATACTTACTTGGATTTTTCTTGATTTGAGGTTTGGGTAACATTAACGTAGCCTCATTTTTTATGTCTCTCTGGATCTGTTTCCACTTTTAAATTTGCTTTCGGTTGGCTTTTAGTACGATAATTTATTACTTTAAAGCTGCACCACATGTGATCTCTTTTTTAACTATTTGTATTTGCTTTAATTTGGCTTTCCGCATAATATTTTCTTACTTGAAGCCACACCACAGACACGGCTCTCTCTTTGACTTTATGTGTTTGATTTCGTTTGGATTTTTGCAAAATATTTCCTTAGTTTAAAGCGAACACATGTTGTCAGAGCTCGGTGTCAGTACTTGTGCGGAAATTTTTAAATTTTGAAAACAGGTATGTATCTTTCTATTTTAATTAATTTTATTTAAAATTAATAATTTAATTAATCACATATAAGATGAAAGTAAAGTAAAAAAAGTAGAATTGAGAGATGACACCACGATTTTTAGCGAAGAAACTCCAATGGTAAAATAAACCAGCCACTATATTTGAAACAAAAAATATAATGTATTTTGACTCAGGCTCACACCCTATCATTCTACCAAATACCAATCGTTGATAATTTTTGGCTTTGCGATGTCTCGCCTAATAACTCTTGACATTAGGTTTACTCTTGATGTAATGACCTGGTCATTTTCCTTCTTTCCTTTTTTCCGATATTTTTCTTTTTCATGTGACCTTAGGGTTTTGGAGGCCCAAGGTAGGGTTTTGAGTTCGATTTTGTGTTCAGATTTGATTTCCGGTGTTGCATGCATTCATCTCATTTTGTTTCCATGAAATGCGTAGCCTTACTTTTATAGAAAAGCATGCTAGCTAATTGTCTTTTTACCTTGTAAGGGTATGGATGCATAGTTTCTTTAGAAACATTTTTACATTTTGGGGTGTTTTGTAATTATTTTTTTTGTCTTAAGGACCTTTTTACAATTTATTTTGGAAGATATTTTAGGGAAGGACCATTTTATAATTTTTGAAAAAGTGTGACAAGTGTCACACTCTGATTGGACCACTTGTTGACTTTGTGGAGGAGACACTTGGAAGCCTTGTTGAATGACAAGTGTTGGGTGAGGACTCACCCACTTGTTGGCCATTGGTTGGTGCACTTGTTGACTTAAGATTGTGACAAGTTAGGCTTATGATTAAGCCTTGTGAAGAGGCTTAGGATTGTGACAAGTGTAAGCCTTGGATTTAATCTTGTGAGGAGACCTACCTTGATGACAAGTGGAAGGCCTAAATTAAGTCTTGTGTATGTATGTGAAAGAGGTAGTGTAGGTATGTGTGTGTTTGGCTATCAAAGCCTTTAGTTCGTGGAGAAATATATATTTCTTCACTAACTCATCTCTTTTCTCACAAAACGTCTCTAGCCACCATTGTTGGAAACTTGAGACTTAGCCTCCATTTCCTTGTTTTGACCCCTTTACACTCACCTTTGAGCTTAAGCCTTGGAAGGCAAAACTTTCCCCTCATCGTTCTCTAGAACACCTTTATTCGGTTTTACGTTTTGCCTTCATTTACCTTGGATTCTAGAGGAACAATCCCTTAGTGAGGTAGGGGTTGTTGTATGTTTATCCTCTTAGTGTTTTGATTGTATTTGGAGTTTTATATATATTGTATACATGCTTGTTGTGTTATAGGATTGCATTTAGATGAAGATTCTATATACTTGATTTAAGTTTTAAGGATTCAAGCATGTGTAGCATATATATATATATATATATATATATATCTTGTATAAAGTGTATTCTCAATTTAGTTGATTACTAATTCTAGAGATTTATCTTGTTGTGATGATAAACTTTTTTAGAATGTCGCTAATGTTTACCTTAGAAGCTTATTACTAGATTGTGGTACATTTAGTATTTATGGCTTACATGATGGTAATTTGATTTAGTTGACATTTAATTAACCATTGTATGTGTAGCAAATCACACATTGAAGATTTGACATTTTAAATGCCATTGTAGACATGAAACCATAGGACATGGTTTGTGTGGTTTCAGCCTATTTGTGCATAGAATGTGGTTTTATGCATTGTTATTTAAGTATGAGTTATAAACTTGTTGAAGCGGAAGTTAGAAATAAGTTGATCCGGTAACAGATCCGAATGCGGAAGAAAAAGATCAAACAATGGTCTTTAGAAATATAACACGCCTCTAAGACACCAATGTGACCCTCAGTGAGGTCACGGAACCCAAAGGAAACAATTCGGAAACGGCGTTCCAAAAACAAATAATAATGAACCTAGGGTAAAATGATAATTTCATAGAGAAATGGATGCTACCAAGCATACCATTGGAAATACAACAAAAAATTAATGAAGTTAGACTCAAGAATCACCTGATTCGGAGTCCGGACGGGAAAAATATCAAGTCCCGAAGTCGAAGGAAGGGAAACCCTATCCCGGTTCAAACCAAATTCTGACACTACCTTACTAAAACATGAATAACTTGAGTTAAAAATTGAATCTAAAGCTTTGATTGGTACCATTGAAAAGCTTGTTTCGACGCAGTCAGTTTACACTCAAGAACGGACTAATTCGGAGTTAAAACGAGTGAGATATGGCTCGTTGAAGAAAGATGTCTGGAGTAGGAACTGTTCCCGCGGGGGCCAGCCAAACAAGGTAGATTCTCGCGGGATCCCGCCAGAACACTGCGGGGGCCTACCAAATGAGGCAGTGGGGTGGTTTGGAACCTCAAAAAATGCAGAAATAGTGTTTTTAGCAGAAAAATGAGTTTGCAACGCGGTTTTCGTGGTCAAGATGACATTTTTCGGAAAAACACGAAGAATAAACTTCCCCTAAAATCACATTTTCTATGTGACAAAGTCAAGAACGGAATTTATTTCCCAAAGAAAATCCCCAAAATGCCCTTGAGCTTGAATTTTCAACAAAAATGTGAAATAGTTCCGTAGAAGGCTCAAAACACAAACGAAAGGGTTTTTCAATAAAACGATCATGCACGCAAACGTAAATGATGATTTTGGGAGCGCGGAAATGGTCCATGACTCCTTAAAATGGCTGAGTCAAAATTTGACCCCCCGACGACCAAAAAGGAGAAAATGAACTTGAAATTGAAATTTTGAAAACCAAAATTAGGAAATGGTTTCAAATGATCGTTTGACCCTTGGCCACACTTCATGCAAGATAAATAAGACCTAGTGGAGGTGTCGGAACACATTTTGCACCACCTGATTTGAAAATGAACCCTTAAAGGCTCGGTTTCTACTATTTTAGCCCAAAAATGCAATACGTGAACTAAAATGCAAAAATGAAAACTAAATGGTGTTTGGCCCTTGGCCATACCTCACATATGGCAAATGAATGCTAAAGGATGGATTACATACAAAATGCACACACTGGTGAGAAAAATGACATATTGAAACCCAAGTTTTCATGTTTTTCTCATTAAAGGCAAAATTCTACATTTTTCAATATACATGGATTACAAATGAAGTTTGGCTCTTGGCCACATATCATATACATGAAATGAATGTCAAAAGTGTGCTTAGGTACACATTACAAGTTTGAAATCAAATATACACATTTGACAAAATGGCTACAAATGGCATTTCAAGTCGACCTTTACAAGAATTGAAATCTCCAAGTCTACAAATCATCCAAGCATGATAAGAATCACGAACCAAGTCTTCATACCTGATCAAAACCCCCAGTAACTTCGGGGTGAGTAAACAAGTTTACTCGTAGAGAATGAGCATGTATCGACTCAATTTCTTTCAGATTTTTAGACTAACATGATATAGTTCAAAAGGGATTATGTCACCTAACGTCTATGTCAAATTCAGACTCAGGGATCATCCTAAGCTACTCACGCAATTGAAAGGAGATACATGACATACAAGCATACCGGTTACAAGTGTACTAAACGAAGATAAAAACATGTGAGATAAGTATATAAAACACAGGTATACTAAACGGAATTAGAAACACATAAGACAAGTATACAAGACACGAGTATACTAAATGGAGTTCTAGATACAAGAAGCAAATGCATGGTTTCAAGTGTGTCAACCGAGATCTAAATACATGAAGCAGGCATAATGTGTATGCAATTAAGTAAGGTAGGAAATACTCCATACAATCACGACAAGATTCTTAGATCTTCAAGCGATAACACTTGAAATCTAAGAGTTCCAAGATTATGCTTGATAGTATAAACTATTACCCGTGGTCCATGCCACCTAGAATCTAAGTCAAATTGTTTATATAGGATCACTCCTAAGTCATATTAACATGAAGCAATATGAGTCATGATGTCTATGACATTGAACAAGGTTGGGATAATTCAAAGAACACGACAAGTTTATGAATTAACATGGATCACATTATCAATGCAATTAACATGATTTGGAACATCCAATTAACACGACAAGAAGAATACATGAAGTTCAGGATAATGCATAATATCTATGCAATTAGACAAGGTAGGAACAATTCATATGACACAAAAAGAATTACATTTGAAATCAAGAATAGAGCATAATATCTATGTAAGTGAACAAGAGTGGAACATTCCAATTAACACGATAAGAGTTATACATGAAATACATGAAATCAAGAGTAAGGCATAACATCTATGCAATTAAATAAGGATGGAACATTCCATGAAACACGAAAAGAGTCAAAGATCTTTAAAGAATAGCACTTGAAATCTAAGGAATGAAATCACGAATGAAGTATA